TGGAGCCCTTAATTAGACAATAACTAAAGTTGTACGTGTGACCAATTGTATTTTTGTTAATATAACAAAGTCAAAGAGTACCTATTCGGTATCCCGATAATTGAACTGAGAAGTTAATAAACCATGCCAGACCCCCAAGTGGTCACCTTAATATTAAAAAAAAAAAAAAAAAAAAAAAGATTGCTAAAAAAAATACTATATTTTAAAAATATATAATATTAGTTAATATATTATATATTAATTGGTAGATCACTAGTCATCTAAACAAAATAATCTACAAATATTAATTAAATATGATGCAATTTTATTAATCAAAAACCGGGTTTAGAAATATACAGATTTTTATAACTAAAATTTATATGATATATAATAATAATATGTACGTATTTGAAATATATGCAAGTATATATTTCTAATAAAAAAGACTATTATAGTCAGACCTCTCTAAATGTACCCTCTATAAATACACACCCTCTCTAAATGTATACTCAGAATCTGGCCCAAAAGTGTGGTCCCAAGGACATGCACTTAGAGAGGTCTAACTGTATTAATTTCTAATAAGCTTTAAATTTTATATTAAAATCTTCAAAAACCTGCAATAGAGATCTTATTAGTATATAGCACAATCAAATAAAAACTTTGTGATCAAATACTTGATCAAGTCACAATCATAGATCAAATAAGTTATATATAGGAAAACTAATTTGCACTATGATCGTCTTGATCAAATATTTGAGTATCAAGTTTTTACTTATTTATGCTAAGCACTAGAACTGGTAAATATATATTGGTATATATGAATTTTATTTTAAAAGAATGTATATAATAAAAAGGTTGTATTTATAACTAATATGAGCTTAGTTGTAGGTATGTAGTTTTTATAAAACAATACAAGAATGAACGAGTATGTAGAAATGAGGATTTTAATAATAACCCAATTCTGGAGATTATATTTTAGAATATGCAGGAATAGGTTTTTTGCGTCAAAATATTCACTCTATAACACAAATGAGTAAAGTTTTGCAAGTGCCAGCACGTACTATTAAAATTATGCCTCTAGCACTATGTTTTAATAGTGCTGTTACTAGCGCTTGCAGAACCCTACAAATGAGATAGATGGATAAATTAACCTTGTGTTCATTCTAATCTTTGAATAATTCATCTTCAAGAACTTGCTTATCGAGATTTGCATAGTGATAATATTTTACAAGATCAATTACATAGTGCATATATTGCAGATTTGAGACTTTCAATATTAGCAAATATTGCATTGAATACAGAACGACACAGAATTTATTATATATAATACCAGAAACTTTAAATAGAGGTTATATTTAATATTTATCTATTTGGCATAATCATGGAAAATTTTATATAGAAAACCTGTATCATATAATCAAAAATTTGGGCTATAGCTACAAATAAAAATATGACTAACAGTTATTAAGAATACTCCACTATATTATATAGATTTAGTAAGAAAAGAGATCAAGTAAACTGTCTATCAGCGCTAAAAATTTGAAATCCTTAAGGAATGACAAGCATGGCTAGATAGTAAAAGGATTGGATTTTTATAATCAATTAGCATATTAGTTTTTTGGCTATAAATTATGAAATTGTTAAACTAACTTGTTGGTTCTAAAAAACAAAAGAAAATGTACCCAATCTAAACTATGGGAGATTATATTTGGGTCAGTACGTACCGTTATGAGTATTCGAAGATTTTTGATCAAATGTTGATTATTTATTGAACTATATTCTTGAGTAGATGCTCTACCCTTGGTGCAAGTTTTGTTACGTAATATTATATAACTATTTGTTATAATTCTTGTTCAAAGTTTCAAAATTATATTTTTATCTTAATTATTAAAATTGATTGAATATCGATATTAGAATTTAAGAAATTTTTTTCGAATACTCATAATGTTATACACTAACCCATTTGTAATATTTGTGGTTAACTGGCCCATCATTGTGAAATGATTTTTTTAAGTGCTACACACCAGGTGTGGGATTAAGTTGGGTCAGGTACGTTACTTTCTGTTATTCTAAAATAGGTAGGTATACTGATTTATAAAATCATTGCAACTCTTCTTTTAAAAGACACCTAATCTATTTTTTCGAAGAAGCTAGATATCGTCATGCTATTTTCTTGTTTATTTCAGATAAATTTGAAGAATGCAAATTACATATACCATTATATATAACCACATATAAGACATTACTTGATTTACAAAGAATTTTTTAAAGGAAGTTAAAATAATTTATCTGTTTATGATTTGGTATAAATAAATTATTGATATTATAATTTTTATAAGTTTAAAGAGAGTTTAGATTAGTGGAAAGTGATCTTGAGATATGTAGATTAACTCAAAATACAATGAATATTTGATGGTATTTTGATACAAGTAAATCGATATAAGAAGGGTGGTCGGGTCCATTAATAGCTTTTTGATCGAGTGGATTGATTTTAGACTAGTTAGATCTAGAATTTAACTAGTCTTTCTTATATCAAAGTTTTTTTATATCGAGAGTTGTATACAAATAAAGTTCTTATATCAATTTCCAAAAATTAAAAAAGTAAATTAGAAGCCGGAATATGTTCATTGAGACTTTTTAAACAGTAATTGTAATATTTAATTTTATTTTTTAATAAAGATTTATTAATTATAATAAATAAAATAAAATAAATAAAAAATAAACTTTATAATTCTGAATAAATAAAAATCTAAAACATTTGTTGAATTACTTTTGTTCAGATTTAGTAGATTTATAATTTCTATATTCATAGAGATAAATAATATTTAAGCTTATTTTACAAGGCACAAGTTCATTAAAAATTTATTACCAACTACAGAATAGCCTATTCCAACAATACAAACAAACAGTTTTGTAGATCATCATAATAGAACATAAGCACAGAAATTTAATGCTTATCGGTTCTAGAATTATTAAACACTAAAATAAAATTTTTAATATGCTTAACCAAACAATTGCTTTTTAAAAATCTTCAAAATTTTCAACTAACTATGAAGATAAGTAACTCTGAAATCAATAACATAGCATATAGTCGAATTAAGATTCACAAAGGATCTTTAGGAATCTTCTATATATATTATACTTGTAGATTAGTGCAGATTATTCCTGGGATTGAATTAGTCATATTGGTACCGTACTAAAATTTTTATAAAATCTAATCTATTATTAAAAAAAAAAATCCTTGAAGTGGTTTTACTATAAAAATATTTATTCCCAAGAGCAAGAGCTATAATTAGATTATCTGCTATAATTATATTAGTATGATGATATTTTAGTAGAAAATAAATATTACTTGATCTAATATCTTACCTATTGATCACGTTGCCTCACTATTCCATAATTCTTAAAGGATAATTTCAAAACTCAGATTGAAATTCTAGCCAAATTTATAAATTTTGTTTCAAAGTTAATTAGAATTTCTAGTAATGTTGCTGTTTTGTATAATAATTTTGCAATTTGATCATTTTATATGAACCTTCTTTTATGCGTAAATGGTATCACCAATAAACTTTGATAATGCTACAAGTTAAGCATAAAATCTCAATCTTCGGATTTGGATAGAACATAGAATAATCAACTCTAAAATAATATTAAATTCTATTTATCAAAATATGTGATAACAAGTGTGAATTTAATATCCCAATATCAATATGACAAGATAAAGTATTGACCAAAAAAGGGGTAATCACCTACTGTATTATCGAAATTTTCAGAACAAGTGAGCAATATCTCTAATGTAAAATATCTAAAAGTCAAGATTTATATTTTCATTTAACAACTTTTATCCCATTATACTCAATCTTTGAATACGTTTTGGAATTACCTATTAAATTGTATATAAATGTTTAAAAAATTATTTTTCAAAATCGAAAACTTATAATATTACTAAATATTTGGAGGTTTGATTATTATTTTTCTATATTCTATTTCGCAACTGCATAGTTCCATATTTATAATTTCATATTTCATATATAGTTATAACTTATTATATAGCCAAACTATATTTAGTAAAATTAATCTAACTATTTTACTTACATGCAGTCTTTTTTAAGCCATATTCTAAAAAGATTGAATGTAAATTCAAAGCCAACCGCGTTGACCTGAGAAGTATAACTATGCAACTAAAGACTAGAATTGGTACTACAAAGGCATGAATCGAAAAATGGTAGAAGTTCATGTCAAAACGTAAATATACTGTTCTTTTTAGAAAATCTAAATCATGCCCTAAAAAGATCGAACATAAATTCAAAGCCAACCACGTTGATTCAAAACTAACTATAGGTAAATGATTGGTATTATAAGAGTGTGAATTAAGAAATAGCATGAGTTTGTATCGAAGCAAAAAATATGCAAACCTTTTTAAAAGTTCTAAGCCATGTCCTAAAGATCGAATACTATTTAAGTTGATGCGAAATATAAATGGTTTGGTATTATGAAAGTGCGAATTAAGAAATAGCATTATCCAAGAAATGGCGTGATTTCTTATCGAAGTGAAAATATGCAGACCTTTTTGAAGGTTCTAAGCTATATCCTAAAAAGTCAAATTTCTAGCATGAGTAAAAAAATGTCGTAAACTAAGAAATAGTATAAGTTCATATATAAGCGAAAGTAAATGGTAGATAAGAAAAAAGAAATCACTCAAAGGTTTCAATAAAGAGGTTTAGTGTGTAAATTAGAAATCGTAATATAATGAAAAAGTATTAAAAACCTTTAAAATCTGCTTTGAATAAATTTTAGCTCTTAGAGTGATAAAAATTATAAAAAGTATCGATATACATATAGTTAAAAATAATTTATCATATAAAACATCTGTTATTAACGCATAATTCAACCACTTATTAATAATAAAAGCTAAATTGTATACCTTTGTTCTTGCTATATTGATATTTCTTCAAATATTTGATCTATGAAAAAATGCTAAAAAGATGTCAGTTTAATAATAAAATTTTAAGTTCAGTATTATGAACTCTCAATTGCATTATGAAATTTGGTTTAGAGTCTGGTGGGAGACAATTCAAATAGAATTAAAAGATGAAACAAAAGAATTTACAATACCTTATCGTTTATACATGTGTATTGAGTGTGATCTTAATAGTAAAAAGTTCATTATTACAATTTTAACTAATAACATAAATCCACTAAAATCTGCATTTCAATACACTTGTGGTAATGTTTAAAGCCAACTTGAACACATCTGTCAGCAGCAGTTACTGCATGTTATCAAAGTGTTTTTGGAACAAAAACTAAATATTCTGATTTGGCAGCTATAGGTTTCGAAAATGAGGCTATTATTCAAGAACTGATCTCTGATATAACTTTTGTTCTAATATTTCTTCATGTAAGAAACCTTCATGTAGTTATACCAAGCATTGGTGATCTATACAAAAACAGATTTTATAATATCAGTACCAGATTTGTTTCTACATTCACTACACATTATCATAATGCATAATATTTATTTGTTTAGAAATTAAAAAAAATCAGTATACTTTAGAAATTTATTTAGAGTCACAGCGTATTAATAAAATAGTAGAAGAAGCTTTAAATAAAATTTGGGATCAGGTAGAAATTCTTAAAAATTCTCTGGATCATACCTCTTTAGAATCACGAATACATTAGTTCAAGAACGCCTACAAATATTAAAAAGTGAATTACCGACATGTATTGTT